GAACCCAGGAGAGAGGTGGTGGGTGCTTTGGGAGGAACGGTTGGTGAAAGGGCTGGAGGGAGGCAGCATGTCTGGCCTTGCAGTAATAGGCCTTGGTTTACTGCTGGTAATCCTGCCTTCCCCTTGTAGGGTTAGAGGAGGTGGGAACATGTGGCCTCCTTGTAGTTTTTGCAGCCACTCACTGTGTGTAAATGCTTTGCACGCATTAACTCCTTTACCCCTCCCGACTCTATGAAGTAGGTATTATAACCATTTTACAGATGAGAAAATCAGGACACAGAGAGGGTAAAGTTTCTTGCAAAAGGTCACAAAGCTAAAGAATGACAGAGCCAAGCTCTGAGTTCAAGTAGTCTGTGCAAAGGCCACTCTCCTGACCATTACACTCTGCGGCCAGTAAGTAATGGCAAACCTGCATTTCTCTCTGCATATCCCATACTTCACACATCTGCTTTCCCCTCATGTGTATGAGTATACATTTCCTATCATTCTAACAGTACATGCTCTATGGCATGAGGCAGATAAATAGCTAAATTATATTTTTAATTTAAAACTGTGAATAATTTTGAGAATTGGGAGGTTTTTAGCTACTAGATACCTATTTTATCTTCCTGACACTCAATTTCTACAGCTTGGAGTCCAGAGTAAACAGACTCAAAAAGCCTATTTTTTTGGACATTACAGCAGCTGTTCTTTTTCCCTGCTAATTTGCTCTGTGCCTTTGGATGGTCTCATTAACATGCTGCGTTGATGCAAGCTGGACTATATCATAATCAGTTTAACCATGCTAGTAATCAAACCAGAAGGGAAAAGTAACATGATTGTGACTTACATGTACAAACCAAATACACAGGCTACAGATTCTTTCTCCTTTAAGATGTAACCTCTACAGTAGGGGTATCTATCCTGCTGCTAACTTACTTCAAGTTTCCCCAAGAACTCTGCAAATCTGGTCAGTGATCCCTGTAACATTCCATAAGCCACAGTCATGATTACGTGATGAGATAGCATCTTATGGGGCCTAGAGAATCAAATGACATAGTATCTAGAAGCTCAGTGTCAAAGCTGGGAAGCTTTTCAGCAATTAATACAGCTCAAAACTCTCAGTTTCCAACAGAGAGACAGCAATGCCTTTCTTCTCAGCATCTTCTTCAGAGCAGACTAAGAGTTACAGTTTATCTTTACATTAAAGGAAGACAAGTGGTGATTATGTCTCACTCAGGACACCCTAATAACTAAGTAAGTTATACCCAAAAAAGCCGAGTCAAGTGCAACATTGTGTAAACAGAGCTGTATTATCAATGCAACCTTATAAAGGGATTATAAAGGACATCTTTTCATAAAGTGAAAGACTGCCTTTCAATTTCTCTTTTCATCAACTAGGATTTTATGTTTAGTAAACCTGTAGCTACATGGGTCCCATATCATCAGAAGTTTAATTCATTCAGTTATTTTTCAGTATCTGTACTGTGCTACACAATCAGAATTGTAGCCTATACATGGTTTCAATTAAAAAAAAAAAAAAAGTTGTAAGATCATAAGCTTAGACCTATTTTAAAGGAAAAAGCTTTTAAATTGTCTGAATGATCAGGGCCATATATAGTATAATGTTCTCTCCCTTTTACAAGTCAACCACCATTCAACAGACTCAAGCACTCCCTCACCCTGTGGAGCCTCTGCTAGCCCCCAAAGGTAGAAATGACCGCTCTTCTCCTTTGTGCCTCTACTGTCCTCTTGTAAATGGGACCAGAACACCCCCTACACTTTAAGAGACTGTATTAACTCAGCTTGTCTTTGTAGTCTATAAGCCCCTTCAGGGCAAGAACCAAATCGTATACATTGTATCACATAGCACAGCCTCTTAGTGCAGAGTGGGTGGGTACTTAACAGTCTTACACACAGACAGACAAATAGATGGAAGCACCAAAAAAGGCCACTGAAGCACAGCAACATACTCAAGCTTTGGTCTCGGTGCTCACTGAACGTGCATAAGCAAACCCGATACAAAAACCTGAGACCATGGAACATTTCCCTGAGGCAGACACAACTCCTTGGAGAGAACAATCACAGGAGAAGGAAGGGCTGCTTATGCCCCGGGAGACAGCTCAGGGGGCAGGAGTGCATGGAGGGATGGACACTGGGAAGAGGTAACTATGGGGAGGAAGTGGGAGCAGAGCTGTTGCATTGTGGTAAATTGTGGTCAATGTCATGAGACAAAGTGTATGTGAGCTGCTGTACGGAAAGTGAATTTGCTCTGTAAATTTTCACCCAAATCACAATAAAAGGGAAAAAACAAACAAACAAAAAAAAAACAAACAACCTGAGATCATCTGGTGTCAGTCCGAGCTCTTCTATTTACTGAGTAACTTTAGGAAAGTCACAACCTCCATTAAATCAGCTTCCTCATCTATAACCCAAACCAAAAAAAAAATCAAACTCACTGCCTTTGAGTCAGATCTGACTCATAGCAACCCCTTCCTTGAGTTTCCAAGGCGGTATCACTACGGAAGTAGATTGCCCAACCTTCCTCCCAAGGAGTGGCTGGTGGGTTTGAACCGCTAGCCTTCTGGTTAGCAGTCAAATGTCTTAGGGACTATGCCACCAGAGCTCCCTCTATAAACCAAGGATAACAAAATTTAAGCTTTGAAGTTCTGAGTACCCGCTGAGGTGATGGATTTTGTACACTCTGAAGTTAGGAGCTCTGGTAGCATAGTGCCTAAGGCACTTGACTGCTAACCAGAAGGCTGGCGGTTCAAACCCACCAGCCACTCCTCAGAAGGAAGATAGGGCAATCTACTTCCATAGTGATACTGCCTCGGAAGGGTTGCTATCAGTCGGGTCCGACTCGATGGCACATAACAACAACAACAAAGCATAAGTTGCTATTATAACATTTAATATTATTATTATTTCTTAAGGGAAAAAATTTACAAATATATTTTTTTAAAGACTTTCAACCAAAATAGTTCGTAATTCCAAAACCAAACTCCCAGCTGTCGAGTCTATTCGACTCATAGCAACCCCTCCTTGGGTTTCCAAAACAGTATCTCTACAAAGTAGATTGTTCAATCTTCCTTCTGAGGAGTGGCTGGTGGGTTTGAACTGCTAGCCTTCTGGTTAGCAGTCAAATGCTTTAGGTACTACGATTACCAGGGTCTTCTTTTTCCATTGGGTGGGTCTGCACCACCAACCTTTTGGTTAGCAGTCAAATGTCTTAGGCACTAAGCCACCAGAACTCCGTTAGTAATTGTTGTTGTTATGTGCCGTTGAGTTGGCCCCGACTCATAGCGACCCCTCCTTGGGTTTCCGAGGCAGTATCACTACGGAAGTAGGATTGCCCAACCTTTCTTCTGAGGAGTGGCTGGTGGGTTTGAACCGCCAGCCTTCTGGTTAGCAGTCAAGTGCTTTAGCCACTATGCTACCAGAGCTGAAGGGAAAAATAAAATTAAGTTAAACACTCCACTTGCTATCATTCTGATCACCTAAGATTTTGTATGGGGCAATATGAGTGCTCTAGTCTGAGAACATCCCTAACACTGGCACCAAAACTTCCAAGAGCCTAGACAAAACAGCCTTGCAAACCCCAGTCCTATTGCTGCAAAAAGGGGAGAAAAGAACTCTTCTCTTCTACGATGTAGGATGCTTCACTGAGATAAAGGAAGTAAAGACAGCTTCAAAAGAGTGCTACAGGCTGTCCTCGTACGCAAAAGCCAAAAAAGAATTCTTACCTTAAGATAGCCCCCAGCAGAGACAAGCATTTTGCTGTCTGGAGAAAAGCAAAGGTCCGTCACCCAGCCTCCATGGGTAGCAACCCCTTCTTCTACTGAAAGTGGAGCACATAAGTGAAGTAGCTCACCATTTGAGGCATTCCATATCTGCATAAACATGATACACAATTCATTAACAGGGTTACCCAGAAGCTATCTCCAGTTTTAAAATTCACATATATCACCTGGAACATATTTAGAAATCTTGCGTAAAAATATAGTAATTACGATTCTGTGATGCTTTAAAGATTATATAAATTGCATTCTCTCCAAATTGAAAAAAAAAAAACTTAATTGTTATAAATAGTAATTACCCACAATATTTATCATTAACTATACTCCAGAAACTAAACAATGGGACTAGAACGACTGGTTAGAATACTGTGACTCTTTCCATTTAACAAAGAAAGAAGAACGGGAGAAGCAAGGAGTCAGCAAAACGACCTAACACAAAAACTACCTCAAAACAAGAATTCTAGGGCAGGAGCTAACGCCACGATGCTGACAGATGACATTTAAATACCTAAATCATATATTTAAACAATAAATCCCTGTAGGGTTCTAAACACATGTATTCTAAGATTATTTTACTAGGACTCTCAGAAACCACCCCACCACTTATAAATGCAAATATTTCCATTTATTTCTAGTGACCCTTCATACAGGTGAAGAACCCTAATTTTTCAAAGAAATGCACATCAGAATAAGAAATAGAGGCATATACAGCAAAAGAAAAAAGTCAGTCATTTGTACAAATCTCCCTAAAAAATTCAAGAAAACCCAATGGAAAAACTCATTAGAAAGAGTTCAGTAAGAGAGCTGGATGTAAGTACACACACACACACACACACACACACCAACAACTTTCCTACATTCTAAATAAGCAGGTATAAAAATAACTTTACTTTTCAGTTCACCAGAGAAAACGTAAATAACATTCAAACTTTTTGACACTTTTTTTTTACAGGGGTTCCTGAAAAATGAAACCTTGCCTCGTAAGTGGTAAAAGAGCCCTTTTATCCAAAGATGAGAGCTCAAAGGAAAATGAGTACTCCCATAGCAGCCCCGGCACTTGAGCCAACATGGCATAGATGTGAATAGCACAGAGAAGGCTGGATACTTAGTCCTTAAGCAAGAGAATCCTAATTTTCCTGGAAGGCCCCTGTGACAACTAGACTCTTCCCACACACCGTGTAGTCTCCATTTTTCTACATTATATACCTATTCCTTAGGTTTTAAATTCCCCTGTGACAAAAATTAAAAACAGAAAAACACTCTTCTGATACATAACCAAATTCACTGTTGATGAGTTGATCCCAACTCCTAGTGATCCCCAGTGGGTTTCTGAGGCTATAAATCTTTACAGAAGTAGATTTCCCCAACTTCCTTCCACAGAGTGGCTGGTGGGCTAATCAACCTTCTGTTTAGCAGTCAACTGCCTTAGACACTGTTCCACCAGAGCCCCTTCTAATACATACTGGTTACTAAAATCCAAGCTATTCCCATCAGTTGCCCAACACATCCAAGTCGACTGCTTTTCCATGACTTCTGGTATCTCAGCATGCAGTATTTCCCTATTATACTTTATAACCATCTTTAAAAGAGACACAAAGAGGACAGAATTCATTGCCTCACCCTGACTCCTACAAAGATGTTTTCTAAATAAAATTGGCATGGTTTATATGTATAACTTAAGCACAGGGTAATGAAAACTGACATATCATGCAGTCTCTATCTCAGTAAGGAGCCCTTGAATGCCTGCCCAAGGACAGGAATGAGAGTCTCGGCACTTCTGAACAAAGGCAGACAGTCCAGTGAGGGCTGCAATAAGCCACTGTAAATGTCGGCTATCTACTGGGTATAGTGCTGACATCTCTCCTTTCAGCACCAAAAACAGCAGAAGTTGCCATTTATTTATAACCTCAGTAATGATTTACAAAACTATTTTCCTCAAATTCTGCCACTAAAAACCACCTTTGGTCCAAGTCCAAGAATTAAGATAAATCACTCTAACAGCAAAGAACCAATTGCAAATAACTAGAGCATTTGCCTCCTAAAATATACAGGAAACACTTCACTCTAACTGTATTAACTCTAAAATGAATTCTTTCTATAGTAGAATGCAGCTGTGAATAAAACGTGCACAAAGTGCTCCAAGAAACAAAAAGAATGTCTTATCCCGCCAGCACCCCAGGGGCTATGCTTCCCTGTCACATTAACAAAAGCACCCAATGTCACGAAGAGGGCTGCCAGCCCAAGCCACAGGAAGAGCAGTGTTTTTACGGCAGCAAAATCCCTACCCTGACTTCTCCGTTGTCATCACCAGTCGCCAGCAGGGTACTGTCCACAGAGAAGACAGAGCAGCGCACACAACCTTTGTGGCCCCTTAATTCATGAAGAGGGGAAAAGAGTTCAAAATTCCAAATCTGAAAGGCAATTAGGATTGTTTAGAAATAGTAAGTGCCCTAGAAAAAAAAAATCTACAAACTCTGCCTTCAGTGCTATTTAGCCATAAATTCAATTGTATATGAGTTCTACCATTTGACAGTTCACAGGTCTTCATGATATTGCCCTAGTTTCAATTTGAAATCTTACTAGTTTTTCTGGTTTCCCTTCATGTCCAGGACCAAAGGCACAGCTTCCTTAACTTTATTAATGAAGGAAGAACAGTAAGAGCAGTCTGTGGAGCGAAGCCAACATGAGTGTGAGTCTTAGATGCACTGCGTATCAGTTCCTTATAACCTAGGACAATTCACCTAAGCTTCTCTAGCCTCGGATTCTGCATCTGCAAAATGGGGACAACAGTGCTTATGGTGTGGAGATTAATATGGCAAGTGTTCTTTAAAGGTTAGTCACAATTAGCCTCCTATCTTGGTGGCCAGATGTTGTTCTTTGTCTTTTAATATTCTCCTTTGTTACTCTCTTTTTACCATTTAACTAGTGGGACACTGACCACCACGTATCAGGCACTGTGAGGCAGGAGGTAGTGGTACAAAGGTAAACTAGACATAGTTCCTTTCCTTGATTATAATTTAATCAGAAAGACAGGCTGATGAACAAGTAAGTGAACAGTTGTAGGAAGTATATGTGTAAACAAAAATGAATGGCATGTAATGGGAACACTGAAGGTGGAGCAGTGAGAGTAGTTAACCCTGCCTGAGGGTCAGGAAGGCTTTACTGCTGGCAGAGCTGACCTCAGATCCAGGTCTAAAAGGAGGAGCCACAATTCCTTGAGGTGAGAAAGAAGTAAAAGGTTTTGTCAAACTAAAGTTAACAGCATGCACAAAAAGATGGAGACAGGAAGTAGCCCAGCTCAGAGGGAACAATGTAGCAGAAACAGATGCTGACAAAGGAGTTTGTTTGGGTTATAAACCTTCAGGTAACAGAATTGTTTCAGCCAAGGACTCAGGAAGAAGTAAGGAAGATACACCGGAGGAGGCAGACATGTGGCAGGGAAGATGTGGGCAGAGAGTCCACCAGGGGAGAAGACAAGTCAAGAGGCAGTGAGGAGTAATCAACGAGCATGAGAGACACCACAGGAGTTCCCGACAATCCCAGGATGTGTGGTTTGGGAAGATGAGTAGAGAATGATGCTACTGACAGAGAGGGGAGGGGGTGAGAAGAAGAAAACAAAATATTGAGAGCTCAGCATCTGATCCAATATTCCAGAGAAAATGATTCCAAGTACATATCAGATTTCTAAACCTGACAATACCAGGCAGCATCATTTCACTGGAATGTGATTCTCAGAAGCATGAATACATACATCACCCAGCTAAGAATTTACTGTGAGTGTGCAATTAAAGGAAGAACATTTCCAGTGCTTTTTATCGCCTAGAGTATGAAGCAGAGACTGCATAAGATTAGAAATAGCCAAAAACTAACCAGTAAGGTAGAAACCAGGAGACCTCGATGTCATTCATTCTGTCTATTTGACACCTACTAAATGCCAATGGCTTCCTCCAAAAGCTCACAGAATAGGGGCAGACATGTAAACACAAACTATTATTGTCCTGTTTTACACATTATCTGGGCCTATTATACATACCCACTACTAAAAAAGTTTAATAAATACCAAAGTTTTATTGATTGACCTACCTTTGCAGTCTTATCAGCAGAGGTAGATGAAAACTTGGCAGCATCTGGAGAAATATCACAAGAAAGGACTGTATCCTGGTGACAGACAAAGTCTTTTTCCATTCTCCCAGTAATAATATCCCACACCTTAAAAAACAAAAAACACAAGATCCCTCAAATTTGACACCTGTAACAACATTGTGTATTAGTGAGCACGATCATGCTACAGGACAGATCTACAAAACAGGAACTTTAGCAAACTGGCTGTTCTGACCCCTTTGCTTAAAGTGCCCCCTAGCATCGAAATAAATGCTCATAAACACACAGCAGATAGAAGTAAACAGAAAACAGGCATGAGAAAAGTAAAACTAAAAAATGTAAGTAGTTCCTTAACACCCATCTGCTTTTGGCTGTTGTAATATAATCACTAAAATATTAGAATACTTTTTTAAAAAACAAATTCATGCTTCAAATTACCTTCACTGTTCCATCAAATGACCAAGAAAGCAGTCTTGAATTTTTCAAGAGCCTGAAGTCTTTCACTGGTTCCTGATGGGCTTCTAGAAACACATATTCCCCTGTGTGCCAATTCCATACCTGAATATCAAAGAAGGAAGTCTGTTATAACTCCTATTTGAGGGGTGGGAGAGTGTACCCTCTCTTGTCTAACGTCTTTTGTCTTCATGACATTTCAGTAAAAACAGAGAACAACTGGGAAGAATATGGAGTCCCCATTTTACAGACAGAAAAAAGCTGGGGTTAGTTAACTTGATTAAGGCAAAACACAATACTTTTCCTCCCCAATAAAATGTGTTCTCTTCAGTTGTTTGGAGAAGAGTTAATTGTATGAGAACACACACAAAAGCCACGATATGCCTGTGAGCTCACCATCTGATTCAATTTTCCAGAGAAAATAATCTCATTTACATATTCACCGAGTCTGGACCTCACAAGTTGGGCATGTCTGACCCCGGCTCCCTGAAGCTGGCCCTATTACCCGGAAAGGCCAGCTGACCGATGCAGCTCCCCAGCAGGTCATGGAATTTCTGAGCTTCTGAGATCTCAGCTACTGCCTAATGCAGCCCTCAAAATGACCTAAGACTTATAGTACATGACTGTGCACACTCAAGTTCAGAAGAAACTCCTCAGGAATGATGGGAAGCAGGGATTGAAATAATGAGAGTAACTGGCACAGAATAAGCATAAAAGTATCTGAGGTACA